TTCACTAGGATTCTGAAGACCGCATTCCGGTCCAAACACGTCTAGAAGTAGTGGTGGCATCCATGCTGACTCATGATGCGTGGGTTGCCTGTGAGTGGCTAGACACTATGGCTGCTCTCTTGAAGGTGACGGTTTAACTTGTATGCTTATAAGATATCCTGCTACTCTAGTCTGAATCGAAGTGTGAGACCCTAGGAAGGTCGGTTAAAGTTCGCAGTTGGTCACATGACTTCTCCTAGGGTAGGCCTTGGTAAACCTGTCTATATTCCACCATGCAGAATGGGTAAATTGGCCTAACATTTCCCTTTGACAACTAACAACTCTTTATAATTGGGTCACTGGAGGTTACTTAAATCTGGCTGTGGGTTGGTGGATTCGAGAATGAGGCACTGGAAATGGTCAGCTAATTAGTCTTATAACTCTTCCATGCTCCGGCAGAACTCTTGAATTTTTTTGCCCATAAATGATGAATATGAGACGTTTTATCTTTGCGCAACAGAAGGTTGAATAAATGAATACACCACTTTAAAGGATAATCTAACCCTAGGTAAAAGGAGATCATGGTTTGGCCTACTGCTATCTGGCGACATATGTAGTTGCACACTATCAAGTGGACAATCAACAACTTAGTTGATTCACACTAACCGTTAGTTTGGCTAATTTCTTGTCGTGATCCTCAATAGATAGTGATTGTAGCACACTGGAGTTTTTTCAATGTCGCATTTTTATTCACAACACAAATGTCATTCCTTGTGCCCATGCATTCGCGTTTTTTTACTAGTGAGATGAAGATGTCGAGTTTCTTTCACAGGTAGGCTGTGTCTGTTCATTTTTGGACCACGTTAGCGCAAAAAACGGGGCTGTGCAATGTCGGCGTGAACACAGTACTGCGGGAGGTGAGAGAATGATAGTCTGAAAACCGCAGTGCGCGTGTTTGATGGAGCTTAAAAGGTGCATATTTTGAGGCCAGGGAGGACGACCTCAACTAACTCCAGGCTTATCTGGCATTTCCACGTTAGAAGCATTGAAAAATCACATCAAACCTTGTTTTTATCAGTTTATTCTTATCAAGTGACAGTATTAATGTAAGAATTGGGAGACCTCATTTTCATCTCCTCTGAAATCGACACGCTGTTCCCAATATCATTTGTTTAAGCAGAAACCACAGGCCATGCTACTGTTTTAATGAATGAAGAAACCATGAGCACCTTCGATATTCAATTTGCTCTGTCTTTATGTGCTTAATGGCATTTCTTTTCGTAATCCTTTTTTGGTTATGTCTATTCACTAAGGATTTCTTGGGCTACACATGCAGTGCAAAGCAGTTTCCTGCAACATTTTGCATATGAATCCTTTGAAGGCAAAAACTTGATAGACCAAAATTTCAAAAGAGAGAAATTCACATTCCGGTCAGTTGTACGGCATGTATCACCAAAGTGAAATGTGAATACAGGTCCATTGATATGCTGCTATTACTTTTTAAAATCATTGGTCGAATAACATCTGACTGTCAAAATTAAAATTGCATGCCGCTGTGCCGTTAAATTGAACCCAACTATTCTTGCACCACGTGAAATTTGCTTTTGCCTGAATAGTACACAATGCGGTCACACTTATTGTCGGCCGAATTGTTCAATGGTATAGTTGATATCTTCGCAGAATGGCACATCTTGTGCGTGACTAACTAATGTGAATAAAGAAATATAACAATTTTAGAATGCCAGTGACGAGATGTTGGTAAAGCAGTGCAGCGTAGAAAGGCAAAATTGGCTCGGTAGATAAAGGGATTCAGCCTCAAAAAGCGAATGAGCCGGATCCAGAACAGGCCAAGTCCGCGAAAACTTGATCAAGATATAGAAGTACTAAAGTAGGCGAACCTCTCCAACCACGTGCAATTGTGGATTTACAAGCACATTTCCACTGGTACTGGTCACATCAATCCAAAGTTGCCGGAGCTTGTGGTACTGCCACGTATTACTTACTGCTTGTAGTATGTGGGCTTGTGCGTGTACGTTACGTGGTTGACAAGGACTAGATGAGGGCTGAAGAAATTAAGGTAGATATAAAAGTATGCTTAGAAAATTGGAAGCATAAATCTGCGAAGGAGTTAGATTTCCTCACAAAAAATGGCTTGTGCATTCCTCGTGGACTTTGGCCACATTGTCATCTAACACTGCTGCCACTGTAGGCTAGCTTTCACCCTTCCCCTCCAGCGTTTTAAGCAAATTCATTGATAAATTAACCCTTTCTTTGGCATATATTAACTCGATTTCATCCAAAATATGCATTTACAGAAACGCACGTAAAATTAATTTCACTTAGTCGAAATCCTTCCACACACTGACATATGATAACAACTGATATTAATAATGCACAAATATATCTACACTCACATATATATGCAAAAAATCTTTTTAACTCAACATCTAAATCAATAAAACACACTAGCGATACATACTCCACCTCTCTATTAGCCAGATGGAACCCAGATAGAAGGGGCATGGGCAGCACCTAGTAGGGCGCAGAGTGACTAAGAAGAATTGGCGCTAAGCCATACCCCCATGGAACTATGCTTAACCCTCGCCTTTATTATTTGACATTACTTTAGGCTAATATTTTAGCGACAAGTGATGGAGATGCAGGCTGGCCAGTACACTCCCTTATCCTCCCAATACATTTTCCACACAGGTGGAAACTCCAGATCACGCATAGTTGAGGGGAGGGATCGCTGAATTTGAGGTCAGGTATTTTCTCGTCTGCATGAAAATGCGTTGATCCACATGGCTGGTGCGCAAGTGTTTCCTCTACAATACTGATTACTCTGTGGCCTGAAAACAAAGGGTGAAATTGGGACTAACAAGTCAAAACTATTACCTAGAAGTTGGGACTACATTTGGAGATGAGTTAAAAGTTGGATAAATAAACGGCTCACTGAGTAATTTCCCCAAAACTGCCGTTACTAAGTGGGAAAGAATGTAGGAATTGCATTACCATTTGGCAAAGTCTGATGGGTTTAATTACCATGTGAGGTAGAGTCATCACATTAACTGAGATGTTTAATTTCACATTCAAAAATGAAAACTTCTCACTGAAAATATTCTTTGTTATTGGAAGAATGATTGTTAGATTTGGGTAAATTGGCAGGTATATTGTAATCACTGGATTTAGAAATATGGGACCGTGAAAGTGATTGCAGCTGCAATTTCTCACCCACGATCCATTACAGGAGCCAATGTATGGGGAAAAAGTTTACTAGGAGGCAATCCATCCTCACGTACGTGTCTGCTGCAGGTTAAGAAAAAGCCCGGTATCTAGCTGGTGCCTTTTTTAGGAGTTTCTAGCCATTATTAAGTGGCATGAGTTGCCACCTGACCTGCGCAGAACGCAAACTGTCGTATGTTACCCACGGTAAAAAGAGAAGCGTGTAGGTGTAAATCACACTCATGACTCCTAATCGTGTGCAATTAAATTGCATCTTTGGTCAGCCAGTAGGAATAATGAAGAGTATTTGAGTAGAAATTTTCCTCACCCGAAAGCTTATAAATTATCCAGAGACAAAGCATAGCACAGAGGCAGAAGGGGGTAAGACAAATGTCAGCAAGTTTTAGTAACAAATAGTGTTTTTTCTACTAAACCTCTTTATAGGAAATGCAATTTTCACAGGGCATATCAAACATAATTTTAGCGATGATGTAGGATAGCGGAAGTCCGTAGAAGTGGAAAAATGGATCATCTTTAACAAGTTTACAATTTAAGATGCAAATAAATTTGTCGCCTCTTAATGCTTTTCAGTTCGCTTTTCCTACCAAATAATTCGTTAAACGCTCCTACTATGACCTCCACCTGCACGCCTGTCAGAGCAAATGATCTCATTGAGTTGCTTTCCAATTTGAGGCGCAATTTTGTCATCCATGGTTGAGTTTAACAAACATGTCATCCATGGTACACACTCTTAAACGCTTTTTACTGGTTAACGCTACTAGGTCAGCATATGGTTTGGACGCACTTTTGCCACTCATTCGCTAATTAGCGGAGACTGGCATAGGCTGTCATAGACCGTCCGATTCTGTGTCTGTGCCCGCTGGAGTTCAGAGCTGTAATTGGGACACCGGGTCTGAGCTATTATATCTACTTGTAGGTAGGGGATAACCTTGGGCATAAAGTGACCATCTAAAGGGAGCGAGTTGAGGTGTGATATCCTGGATGCTTGCAAAATATTTGCAACATAGGAAAATTCTAAGGAGTAAATGATGGTTGAATTCCTTAGATTGCAGGTTTTCCAAGCAAATACCTCTCAGTTTTTTGAGTATCATATCGAAAACAACGATACTAGTATATAGAACTCTTTCCAATTCCTAAACTAGTGAACAGCAGTAAGAGTGCATTTCTTGACTGCTGCAAATATGAACAGATTTGTCCACCAAAAAATAATTAATCAATTAATTAAATACTCAGTTTGCCGATCATTTAACTCTGCAATCAGTCAGTTGTGTGGATTGAAAATTCTTAATTATGCTTATCATTGGATTAAGTGATTCAACATTTGTATATTTGGAGGCAAGTTTTTTTGTTTACTTTGAGAGAAAAAATTGTACAAAATGACTGCTTTGTTTAGAGGTCTATAAACTTGACCGCATTGCATTTAAAAGGCAAATTTAGACTAAGTACAAATTGCAATCGACTAGACATGGAAGAATAGACAGACAAATCAACAAATAACGCAACAAATTCTAATCCCCAATCGTATTCCTTTACTTCTTCATTTGGGATATAGAAGGGGATGATGACAGTAATAAGCCGGAAGAGCAAAATCGAAATGCTTATAATTGAATCTACTACATGTGTAAGTTGATTTTTACTGTAAGCT